GGTCTGTGCTCGTAGGTGGACTCTGGCGGTGAGCAGGTTACTCCCTCTTGTGGCACGGAGGACCCAAGAACAATCTTCCTTCAACTCTGAATAATGAAATGAGGCTTGTTTAAATGAGACTTCTTACCAGCTCGGTTCGCCTGATCATCACGCGAGGTCTTTGACCATTCGGCCATTCTGCTGCGAAAATTTCGAAATTTTTATATGTAGTCAAAGGAGGCCGACCACATGAGGTTTTGAAGGTTAAAAAAAAGAACATAATTGGTGAGATGGTTGGCGTCTCTCGTGGGCGATGTGACGGCACTCCAACCTCACCCATAACCCATCGACCACGCATATATTTCCTACTGCCTGCCTTCAGAATGCCATCCTGAGATCAGGAGATAGTTTGCAAAGCCAACTTCGTTTTCGATTGAAGACGAGTTGCACAAAGAGATCGTATCGTTTTGTCATTTTGCTTTCTTGGCCAGAAAAATATAGTAATGCACTTTTAAGATTAAACGAGATTTATGAAGAAAGGAATTTTTAAACCATTTACACGATCATATAAAATCTAATCCCTGCCTACACCATACAAACTTAGTGTATTCACGTCCTTGATAGCGTCTGCTGTGTTGGGTCTGTCTCGGTGACAGACTGAGGCTGCTGTTGTCTTCTTGTCTGATCAAAACAATGTTGTCTTTTCCTCTGATCAAAACAGTGTGTCCCCCTAGCGGATATTCCACGAATTGTACCTTATAAAAAATATTCATCCGTGTCTTTTGTGCATTTTTTTACTTTTAAATTATCCTGTGGGCCTGATCAAACCTCTGCGGGCCGGTTCCGGCCGTATGTGATTCACCCCTGATGTATAGTAAGGCATTTTAACCCTAAAAAAACGACCACGTGTCGGAAGGCGTTTTTAGCCGAAAAATACGACCATGTATAGTAAGGCGTTTTAACCCGAAAATAACGACCATGTATAGTAAGGCGTTTTTATCCGAAAAAAAAACACGATGTATAGTAAGGCGTTTTTAGCCGAAAAAAACAACCATGTAGAGTAAGGCATTTTTAACCGAAAAAAACGACCATGTATACTAAGGCGTTTTTAGACGAAAGAAACGACCATGTATATAGTAAGGCGTTTTTATCGGAAAAATAACGACCATGTATAGTAAGGCGTTTTTAGCCGAAAAAAACGACCATGTATATAGTAAAGCATTTTTAGCCGAAAAAAACGACCATGTATTGTAAGGCGTGTTTAGCCGAAAATAACGACCATGTATAGAAAGGCGTTTTTAGACGAAAAAAACGACCATGTATAGTAAGGCGTTTTTAGCTGAAACAAATGACCATGTATAGGTCGGCGTTTTAACCCGAAAAAAAACGACCATGTATATAGTAAGGCGTTTTTAGCCGAAAAAATACAACCATGTATAGTAAGGCGTTTTTAGCCGAACAAAACGACCATTATTGTAAGGCATTTTTAACCAAAAAAAACGACCATGTATAGTCAGGCATTTTTCGCCGAAAAAAACGACCATGTATCGTAAGGCGTTTTAACCCGAAAAAAACGACCATTACAGGAAGGCGTTTTTAGCCGAAAAAAACGACCATGTATAGTAATGCATTTTTAGCTGAAAAAAACGACCATGTATAGTCAGGCATTTTTAACCGAAAAAAACGACCATGTATATTAAGGCGTTTTTAGCCGAAAATAACAACCATGTATAGTAAGGCGTTTTTAGCCGAAAAAAAAACGACCATGTATAGGTCAGCATTTTTAGCCGAAAAAAAAAAACGGAAAAACTATTGTTTCCTGCAGCTTTCACACTCATGAAGAAATATTTTGTCTCATCGAAGTTAGCAAGACCACACACACTTAAGAAACACATTTCTCAAGTCAATAATTAAAGAATGGATAATTAAAAAAAGGAACCCCGAAAATGTGGTCTTAGTTCCATGATGCCATCCAAAAAAAACCCAAACACCTGAAGGACTAACATTTTCTCTCAGACGACAGAGATAGAACAACTATTTTGTGGTTGCTAAACAAAAAGGAAAGCATAAGTACCACTGTCGTTTGTTTTGTCATCTTTGTCTATGTATTCAGAGCTTTATCCATCATCTACTCTATCCCATCGACTAAACAATTGATGCCATTATTAGATTACGTTGAGCACTTTTTAGTACTCAGAGTTGACTCACAATTACCTAAAAAATACACTTGACCCCCCCCCCCGCCACCTCAAAAAAAAAACAACCCCCCAAAAAGCCTCGTCCACTCAGCAGTTCGGTAAATGTGTTTCCACAACAAAACAAGTGGCGAGGCAGAGTGAGCTTTGAAAATAACGGTTTATAAAACCCAGATATGACAGGATCACCAAAGTGTGTACAGAACTACAAAGACGTCATCGAGAGAACGGTGTTATACACTCAACATGTACAAACTACTCAATTGAAAGGAGGATGATCTACAAGGAGACATTCTCTTTTTCTTTTCATCTTTAGAATCACATTTATCCACAATCTAGGTTTCTTACCAAAGAACATCCATTTAACATCACATTCAGCTAGTCTACAGAACTACAACAAGGGAAGATGCACAACTACGAAGCACTTGAACGTCATGGGTGAAGCAAATAACATTGCGTCCGATCAACACGTCTTGGGAGGCCTGCCAGGGGCTCTTCTGCTGTTTTCCTCTTCACTCCGGTGAGTCAAATTGTGCCCATCTACTTCCAACTCATGTCACAGCCACAATAGCTTCATGCACAATCACTAATGTACACTTGGAGAAAAAAAATGAAACATTCAGATTTGTTTTAAATACAAAGGATTAGAACACACGCAAACAAAGCTACAAAATACTGCTTGTCCAAAATGGCAACATCAATCATGGCTGCTATTATAAATATACACATCAGGAACAATAAATTAAGTTGTATGTACATTGTTGAAATAAGAGCAGCATGCAGGCAAGGCAACTCTGTACAAAAACATCAAGTTGGGGAGAAGCGGGTGTCCAGTGTATTGGGGTGTTGAGGCGGGGCGAGGAACAAAAAAAAAAGAGGGTGTGACTTCCACATATAAGCACATTGCACACTCATCCTGGCCTTTTGGGGTCCACTAGTAGACGTCAACCAGTGCACAGTTTTGCCCCACTGGTAACACCATTGTCCTACTACTGTGTAGAAATGTCATACAGTGGTGGGAAAATGGTCGCTAGTAACGCACTGTCGTTTACTAGTTAGCCCGAGTCATTCTACTAGTGCGCTGAATGGTTTACTAGTGAGGACAAATAGCGTACGGAGACCTTCAGATGGCTACCGAGGATATGGAATAAATAAATGCTCAAACAGCATTCCATAAGAGCATTTTGTATGAACAGATTGGTTTGGAGTCCAACAAGAAATTTGAGTAGAAACATTGTGTCCAAAAAATCCAAAGATTAGAAAAAACATCATTGAGTGGATGCTCACTTACTTCACGAGTAGAAACAACACACAAACCTCGACGAGGACGATACAGTATAGAACGCACAGCAAAGTATTATACGACAAAGCAACATCCCTCTTTGCGTCCGAGCAGTTTGTGTATTAAATGCACTTTTCCTGCAAGTGCCTCCAGCGTTGCGACAGCACTTGTTGAATTTCTTCTAACAACTCAAAACAAAATGACAAAAAAAAAAAAAGTATAGAGTATAAAATAATCATCATCGAGGTCAAAGCAGTTGATTTGTTCTGATATGCTGCGTGTTAAGAGTCCTTCCTTGGATTTCTACTGAATTCTCTCTTTTTTTTTTTTTAAATGGAGTCTTTTGATTGTTTTTTGTTGTCCCTGTTGATCCTGTAAGTAGTCCAAAAAAGGCATGTAAACAGTCGTCGATGTAAGCTTGATCAGAAATCAAGCGCAACGTCGTCCGTGCAACAAAAACAACAACAAAAAAACCATGTATCTCCAACGTTTTTTTGTTTTTTTTCATTTTCTTCCAAAACACAAAGAAAAAAAAAATAGGGGTGTTTTTGGAGGAAAATAAAAGCTCACAAAAGTTGGACATACTTGCTTTTTGTGCACGGCAAAATGAAAGGCTAGAGAGAAGGAAGGAAAAGAAGGATGAAGCATGGCAGTTTGGTGGGTTAGATGTTGTTTTGTAAATCGAGTTTAAAACTATGTTTGTGCTTCAGTGGGTTGTGTCACAATATTATGTGGTGTGTGTGTGTGTGTGTGTGTGTGTGTGTGTGTGCGTGTGTGTGTGTGAGACTGTGTTCATGATTTTTGTCACTGAGCAATGAAAATCAAATATGTCCATTTTTAAGTCTGAGATTGTTCTTTTTATCAGAAAAAACTAAAGCCACAAAAAACATTCCCATCCATGTTTTGTGACATAAAAGCAAAATAAAAGGCTTTGCTTTGGGGGGAGTTCGATTTCACTTTAAAAACGTAAAAGTTTTGGACAGACAAGCTTTCTCGTCTTTGTTTTTTTTTTTGGAAGGGGGGATTTAAAAAAAATCAGAATACATTCTTGTCAGTATTTTTAAATTAAAAAAAAAATCCACAAACGTGAAAATACATTCTGGTCAATGTCTATTTCAAAACAAATGCACATTTAGCGATGCATGCTTTTCATTTTTTGTTTTGTTTGTAAGATAAAAAATATCTACCACATTCGAAGACACATTCTCAATATTTAAGTTTTTAAGACGACAAAGAAAACCCACAGAATGTGGACATATTATACATTCTTGAAAGCTTTAAGATGACAATTAAACCCACAGCTTTGAAAATACACACTTCTTATTTTGAAACAAAAATCCACCAAAGTTGGAAAAACATGCTTTTTCTTCTTATTTTTATTTTATTTATTTTTTTTATAAAAAGAAAACCTACATTTTGAAATATTCCTATTGGTTCCACTTTTTAAAAGTTTGGAAAAAAAGTTTGGACATGCTTTTAATTGCCTGTCTTGGGAGGGAAATCACGAAAAACTGAAAGGCATTATTTACAGCCTTTTTTTTTGTTTTTTTAAGTAAAAAAAAAACAAACAAACTAGCAACAACATTTGGAAATACATTCTTCTCATTGCTTTGGAATTTTGTTTAGATCCAAAAAAAATGCACAAAACTGTGGGAAACTTGTTTTTGTGTTTTGGATGAAAAAAGATCAATCTCAGTAAAGATGGAGATCCATGCTTTTCATTGCCCATTAACATTTTTAAAACATTTTGTCCGATTTTTTTTTTTTTTTACGTTTTAGAGGAAAGTTTAAAATGGTGAGGAATATCCTTCCTTTGTGTGTGTGTGTTTGTGGTTGCGTGTGAACAATGCTGATGCTTGCTGGTGATTTAGCTGAAGGCCTCATCATCCGTATCTTCAATTAGAACCTTGGTGTCCTTTTTGGATCTACAAAAAAAAAAAAAAAAAAAAAGAAGACAACTAACGTTTCGCCATCTGCCATAATAACCACACGATTGCTGTCTTCTTACTGAGAGGACAGTAGAGGGCGCCGCAATGTGAGGCTGTAGGACCTCTTCCAGGTCTTCTTGCCCGAGCGGTTCCGGACCCCGTCTTCCTGGTCCATCATCTGCTCCAGCAGCGTCTGGTCGTCAGCGTTGAGCGGCGCTACCGAAATGTCTCGCACCGCGCGGAACTCGCCGCAGTTGTTAAGGTGCTCGTTCTCCAGACGGAAGAAATTCCACACGAAACGCCTGCAAGGGATAAAACAAGGTGGCGTCGAGATACTTTTGAAGTCTGGAAACGTCCAATGTGGGGACGGTTGTCAACTGAGGACCGCGGGTGTAAGGAGAAAGCACACCTGAAGACCTCGAGAGGTGCCAGCACGGTGGCCACAATGTCGCCCACCGAGTGAATCTTGGTCATGGTGGTCAAAGAGAGCGAGATGGTCCAGGCAAAACGCAGAATCACATCTTCTAAAATGGCACAGTAGTAGTAGGCCTACAGAAAAAAAAGAGGGCGGGGTGGGGGGGTGGGGGGTGGAGCTGGGATTAGAAGCATCACGGCATGCACAGGTACCGCTCCTTACATTTGAATAGCCGACAAAAGTTCAATTCAAAAGTGAAGCTCACACACAGATACATGAAGCACACGACCAAAAGATTTTTCACAAGGCCAATTTCAACCTATTAAAAATAAATACATAAATAATTGGATTTCTGGTGGGCGGCCCGGCCATCCAGTGGTTAGCGTGTCCACCTCACAGTGTCAATGTTGTGGGTTCAGTCTTCCTGTGTAGAGTTTGCATCTTCTTCCCGGGCCTGTGTGGGTTTTCTCCGGTACTCCGGTTCCCTCCCACATTTCAAAAACATGCATGGCAGGCTGATTGAACACTCCAAATTGTCCCTAGGTGTGAGTGTGTGCATGGATGGTTGTTCGTCTCTGTGTGCCCTGCGATTGGCTGGCAAGCAGTTCAGGGTGTCCCCCGCCTACTGCCCGAAGACGGCTGGGATAGGCTCCAACACTTCAACAAGCGGATCAGAATATGAGATGGATGGATGGTATTTCTGGTGTCATTTATTTTCTTGAGATGGTGAATTGAGTGCTCTCCGTAGCTGTAAACGATAATCTCCAGTTTCCCTTTTTGAAGGTAAGAGCTGAAATAAATGACATTTTCCAGAATATTTGCATTTATTGAGTTTCACCTGCATTATATAGATTCATTCAACACACTAAAATATTTCATGGTTAGATTTTTTTTTTTTTTATTGTGGTATGAAGACAATGAAAATCCTACATTCGCAATCTCCAAAAATGGATATTACACCACTTTAAATAATTTGTAGTATAGAAATGAGGTTGGAAATTGCCATTTTAAAATATTTTCCCGTGTATTTGATGAATCCGTATAATATCAGGGTCACCTTTTGAATTGAACTATATTGTGTTTATTGCAAAATAGTTCTTGAGATGTACAATACTTGTTGTTGTTTCCTTAATAATCATTTTAATTTACTGTTACAATATCAATACAAAATGCCAATATGCTTGCTATAATTGGGTTTTGTTTGTTTTTTTTTCTTTTTGAGTGCCTTCGTGTACCCCAAACCGGGGGTTACGTGAGATTTATTAAAATCAATTTAAAGGGGAGCATCCATGTTAAAACCCTTTAAAAATAATTATTCAGTTATGTAAATGGAAAAAGATCTTATAAAACGTGCAGAATGTGAATTAGTCTGTACTCGGGGCAGTCATTCTTTTGCCACGAGAAGGAGCCTGCATACTACTTGTCACTGACCTCGGCAATTATGCTATTAGGCTGACTAAGGCAATTATGCTATTAAGCTAATGGGGTGTGGAGAGAGGGGGGGAGTTTACCTTGTGCGGGTAAACAATCTCTTCTCGGAGGAAGGTGTTTTCTCCAGCCCCGCGGTCAAACAGTCCCCAGTCCATGCGCAGATCCCAGATCAGCGTGTAGAAGGAGCTTATGGTGGAGAAGACAATCAGCAGGTAGAAGAACATGTCAGCGTCTGTGTGGCCTTGCTCTGGAACACACACACAAACGCACACAAATCCATTTCGTGTTTGATGGAAACGAATTTGTCGTCATGGGATGAGAAAATCTAGAGTTTGTTTCCCCTTTTGCGAGGGTAATTTGCAATTGATTGTCAATAATCATTCGGAGAGTTCATCTTGAAGGTGTTTGATGCGTTTCTTCCACACCAAACTTCACCTTGCAATCGTGCTGGAACAGGACAGCGTTTCCCGGAAATTGTAACAACAAAGTTGTAAGCATTGAATTGGCCCCGAATTGAACCCGAAGAATCACAATTTGGCCTCAATGAGATTATTTTGCCTAACTTTTGACTCTCGATCGAGTTTCGTAGTTTTTGTCCAATTTCTCCCGCTTTTTCCCCAAGTCGGCAAGAAACAACTTCTCACCAGTAGAGGGCGCCAGCATATCATCAATACCGAGCAGAAGCTCTCCCGAGCAGGAAGGAGGCATAGATGTCCACCGGTAAGAGACACATAAAAAGAACTTCCATATTTGACGCGTTTTGTCAGCCCTATTAACATTTGTTATGATTGATTTGACATTCTGAGAAGTGTACTTAATATACTGGCAGATGTATCTAGTATGGAATGGTAAAAATAATAAAAACGTATCTCGCTATGATGTTCAGGTCTGCAGCACCACACTAATCAACGTTGCAGGATGAATACTTCTCTGACAGTGTGTTTTAAAACTGAATGTACGGTCATGATCTTTGTAAAAGTAGATTTGTTTTTAATAACCTCTGACATTGGATCTCATTAAATTGTGCAAGTTTAGCTAATGAATTACCCATGACTACACTCAGAGCTGCAATTTACAGATTGGAACTAGAACAGTGTGGCTTTACATTTCAGGATTTAAATCTCTCTCTCTCTCTCTCTCTCTCTCTCTCATGGTACATCAACAAACAAAAATTTCACAAAAGGTAGACAACAGACATAAATTAATTGTATGAATAGCACAAGTACGATTTGCAATCTAGTGGAAGTGCATTTAATTGTTCTGCCTGTCACTATATGTTGCCATCATAGACAGATAAACAAAGATACATTATTGGTGCAAACAGAAATCTCATGCAAAAATACTCCACATCCCCTATAAAAAGGTTTAGAATTGCCTGTAGATGCCGGATCAAAGAGCAAAGCACTTCTTTTCTGAGGTATGGCTTTTGACAGTCTAATAGAAATTCCTTCTCTCACTTGAAAATAGTTTCTTGGCAAACAACATGCCTCATGATGAACCCAAAGTACTACTTAACAAGTGGAAACGGCTTTGGTGCCATCTTGTGGCATCCGAGGGCATTTCTGAAACAGCAAAAAAAATAAATAAATAAATAAATAAAATACTGTAGGTATTTTTTTTTCTGTGGATAGGTAAATTTGTGAGTAGCCAATCACAATTCGTCAAGGGAACACTGTCAATAATATATTTCAAACAAACAGAGCAAAATTGGCGCGCTACCCGCCGCACACCCGATGATGTTTCACAACACGTTAATGTGCCACGGTTGTCACTTGCGCTCGGCACCACCAGATCGTCTGGGTGTGAGCACAGCTGATGTGACAATGGTTCCTCCGTGACAAAAGCGTATCAGTCTGTGACACGCGCACACACTTCTAACTCAGCAACTTCATAGCATCAATCTGTCTTCGCTGATGGAGTCGTCTGTTTCTATGACGACCCACCGCTATCACCCAAATAATTAAAAAACGCACGTATCACAGGAAAGCAAATTTATTAATTCGGATACTTTCCCGCAAAGTATTATGTAGATTACTGAGAGAAACATAAAAGATCTTGATGGGCCAAGTGTGGCTCTAGATTATTAACTGCAGCCAGACCGTGCTCGGCCTTATCAGCGCTCGGTTAAAGCGTCTTTCATCTTTATTGGTTAACATGCGTCTGCGTGTGCCGTTTCACGTTCTCGCCTCATCACTGACAAGGGTGCAGCGCATGAAATGAAGTCATAAAAGCTGTCGGCTCCGGCCTCGTTGCGATTCGAGTTCAATCTCGGGCCTCTCTTCCTCCTCTGCTATTTAACAGCACATTTGATAAAAATGGTCTCATATAATATGAAGAAGAGATGTCAAGTTTATAAGAAGCACCGTCTCTGAAACTGAAATGTTACAAATCATTTAATGCAGGGGGTGTCAAAGTCATTTTTGTCACGGGCCACATTATAATTACCGTTTCCCTTGGAGGGCCGTTATGATTGAAACTATATGAAGAAGTCAAGAATAATGTTTTATTCAATTATTGTTTAAGTAACTTTAATGAGGGATTTGGTTACAATATGTCACTGATTTATTATGTGTGAAAATGTGAAATTTTGGTACACATTTTAGCCAACATCATGGAAGTTGTCATCTTTGATTTGCTTTTGCGGGCCACTTAAAATGATGTGGTGGGCCACATCTGGCCCCCGGGCCTTGAGTTTGACACCTGTCATTTAATGGAAAAGAAGAGAAAACACTAAATACTTATTGAAAAAAGTTCTGTACTTTTCTGGTTTCGGGAAGTTTGTTTTCCGTCTGGCTGACCTTAAAGACATGAATGTTTCAAAATATTTACGTCACACTGACAGCAACTTCTGCATTTTGTTTCTGACGCATGATGTCTCACTTATATCACAAGGGGACAAGCTTGTTGGCATATGGATACAAGTTGTAAAAATCTGCCCTTGCGTGCAGCATCCTGGTTCACATAATAGAACCCGTAAATATAAGAGCTGTAATTACATGTCATTTTTTTTAAACCATCTTTTTTAAGCCTTTCAAGGACAGCGGTTACTACATTGGACCGCTTATCACGTTATCAGGTTCCACGTTCTTCATGATTTGTGCACGGAAGGGTTCATTTTCAATTTCAAATTTGAAATGGTTTCGTTTAAATTCATCCAGCATCTACCTGGTTAAAGGCTTGTGAGCACTTTGCAAGAGCAGCGTTTCATAAAAAGGGTCAACTTCAATATTCAGAGCACTGACTTGAACGTTTATCTCATTTAACACAGAGACTATAATTTATTGTATTTGTCCTTCGATGTTTTCCCGGAGATAAAAACGAGCCATTCCAGGAAGGAGTGAGGCGGTGAGGTCACACACAAACACCATCCGCGCGCCACCGTCCGTGATGGCTTTGGCGAAGATAGCGATACATCCTCACCGACAAGCTGATAAGAAATAAACAGTGACACCTCACGATATGAATTAAACTCCGGCCCCCGGCCTTCTCCGACATCAGTTGCTGATTTCATTCAGTCCGAAGCAACGACAGCCATCATTTACATTTCAGTCAGTTAGGTACATCTACAAACACCTACGCATATAGAAATAGGACAAATGTTGTTTAACTGGTCCAGAAATAAAAATTTAGAACCAGCTCTCAATATGATGCTAAACCGTAGCGCTGCCACTGGAAACAAAAACCACAATAATAAACATATTGTTCACCCTTTAATGCACAAATAATGATAACCTGTCACCTGATAATCTGTCCACTGTAGTAACCGCTTAAATAAGGCCTTTCCAAGACTGCATATTACTGAAGTGTTTTTTGGGGGTTTTTTTTGGGGTGCAAGAGCTAACATCAAATATTTACACGGCATGTGTGCAAGTGTTCAATTTCGCACCATCCTCCATCAATGAACAGGCCAGAGGTCCATGCCTCCACGATTAGGTGGGATGAAAGACAGCTTCATAGAGAATAAGACATGAACGGAGGCCATTAGTCAGCGGCCTTCAGACCAGAGGAAGGAGGAGGATGTGACTTAATGGACGTGCTTGGTACCTAGTAGCCTGTCCCAATGTCTTCCTCCTTGTGAGGGGTTCCACATCGGAGGAATTAATGCATATTAGAAATAGCTCTGAGTATGATGCGGTGCAGTTCAACCAAAAATGGATATCATGCAACCTTTATAAGGATAAGAGTTACAGAAAGAATGAATAATGGGTGCCACTCAAAAATGCCCAACAAAAATCCCAATGTGGTCTCATGAGCTGTAACAAAAAAAATTTGCAATAATAATAGCTCACTATATCTACAATATCATGAGTACCTGCGGCTGAAAAAGCAAAGTGTGGAGAGTCTCTGTTGTCAATAAACGGAGCCATCCGCCTTGAAAATGTCCAAGACTCGCCCGATTGCTGTCTTCGTATTATCAGAGTATAACTACAGTGGCCGGGGAAATCCACTTCCATGTCGTATAAGTGGCGCCTCAGAACATTGCTTCCCAACAAGAACACAAGTGTCGCAGTTTTTCTGTTGCGGTGAGTTGATATTGAATGAGGGTCCATCGCCTGGTGTGCTGGTGTGAGCCACCGAGTGTATTTTAGTGCATCCTGTCCGTCGGTGTATGGCGGGCCTAAATTTTCGATGACAGCATACGTTTTTTGTTCAATCAGTTGATTTCCCTCAAGCAGCATCAACCTAAATTGAACGTTAACGTAGAATTTGCAGGTGTATCTAATGTAATGGCAAACGAATACATATCGGAAAGTAAAGCGGGAAATCACATTTGTTTGAAAGAGGAAGAGCTGGACTTGGCCTGGAAAAAAAAAATCTATAAACTGACATCTGAGTGGAAGGGGGGGGGGGATGCTTTGAAATGAGCGAAGCGCACTAGAATGCGTGATAAACTACCTCAACACAAAGCGCCAAAGAGAAGCTTTTACGGTCTTTAAGCATGAACTCCTTTGCGATTGGCCTTGTCGATGAGAATACTGTAATTGCAGGCTGATTACGAGGCTGTCAGCTTGAAAGTGACTTGATTTTTAATGGACCACAAACCCTCCCCATTTTCATCCTGTCAATGTTGTTTTGTTTTCTTCTTTCCAGTCATCTGTCTTTTTGTTTCGCTAACCTGCGTGACCCTCACATTGAACACAGAGATCAACACCTTGTTTACCCACGGATGCCTTTGACAAAGCTTTTCCATTTCTATAATGTACAGCTGGCGGCACTGGCGGCCAAACGAAGGCCAACTTCTGGCAGTCATATGCTCAAGGTCACCTTTGCGTCCTACACACACACACACCTCAATACAAAGCCTGTGTGCTTTTATTCTTCCTTGAGGCCAACATGGCTGCTTGAGATGATAGACTCTCACTTCTTCTGAGCAAATGGTTGCAGTGTATGACCCGTATAGTGTGTGCGTGCTTGTGTGTGCGCGTTACCTCTATGTGTGGCATAGAGTGCGGCGAATGTGACCACGAAGAAGGTGGTGGAATATTTGCCAGCATTCACCAGGTGGGGGAAGGCCCTCTTAGTGTCTCGGTAACGCCTGAGGCATTGGATGAAACGCAGCCAGGCGGGCAGACACTGGATGATGGCGCGCAGGCCGTACGAGTAGCTGTGGCACACGTAGCTACTCGAGTCTGCAAGGGAAACACATGAGTTGAGTCACTTCTCTTCGCCATTTGATTGACAGCCTCCAATATTGTAAGGGATGTTCGATACCACCTTTTCCAGACCGATACCAGTGCGAGGGCTCAACTTTTGAGTCCTCATTGACACTAAGACCAAGTAACCGATACCACGAGCAATTCAAAACAATAACATTTATACTATTATTTATATTGATAATTTTCAAGAAACATCTTCCATTTATTTCTGATAAAGGTTTGGCTGACAGCAATTAACCCCAATTTTTTTTTTTTTTTAACCACTCGAATATAGATTTTTCTATCTAACTAAAAATAAAACAGAGAATTGTGCACTGTGTTTAAAAACGAAATGGCTTTGCCTGAATACAGTCCGTTTTGCTTAATGCTAACAAACAATGTGAAACACCATAGGCGGGCTAACGAATAGCATTGGTGTTGCGGTGTTATAACCCTTTAAGCAACACATTTGACATAAACGGTGGAGCAACACATGCGGGAAGAAAATGTAACAATGCTCTCAGGCATATATTCTTCATCCTCTGTGAAGAACAACTGATATTACCGTGGCTTAATGAGGAATTTTGACCAGCTTCTTGTGTATCTGCATATAAAAATACAAATAAAATAAAGTTTATTTACATTATATTTAATTCTGTTGTTTTTTAATAAAGTATATAGAGAGTGTGGTTTTTCTAATTAAAAACAAATTTAAAAGCATTTTTTGGGAGAGGCTGGAACGGATTAACGTCTTTTCTATTCATTTCAATGGGGAAAGATAATTTGAAATAAAAGTATTTTAAGTTACCACTGTACTAAATAAGATAAGTGCTTAAAAAATAATTTTCATGAAATTTAATTTTTTAAATGCCTTCGGAAAATAGTGATTGTCACCTTTTCTGAAAGATGAGCATGATGATTGTTACCTACAGTAAGGAACTTTTGAAGAAGCCGTTACACTTTGGGGATGAATTGATTTAAGGTGTGGATAGATGGAACTTTTTTTCAGAACAGGAGATGGGAATGCTTTGTAATCATCTTATATTTACACAACGGACAACTCAAACACAACCCGCAGCCACCGGTACCATGTGACAAAGAACCCATCAACAGGATTGAGATGTAATCAGGTTAGACAAAGGAAGAATGAACGAGGCACCGTTTATTTTGGGCAACAGGCCCTTGCTGTTGCCCCACTGCAGCTCAAAGATGTAGAAGCAGATGAGATACTCCAGGTCCATCAAGACCACCACCAGCGAGTTGAGCTGATCGGCCAGCCAGAAGTCGGCAAACTCCACTCGGTGAAACGGTGCCGTAAACACTCGGAACTGGAAACGCACATGAGAACGGCAAAGATGTCAGCCACAGCTTCAGATCGTCGTTTGCGAAACACCCGTGAGACACTTCATTAGGTACACCTTCACCATCCAAAAGGATCCAAATGCAAGAACTGAATAGAAATAATTAATAATGCCTTTGTAAAGATGATAATGATAATTTTGTTGCAGCCAGAGAGGTATTTAACAACAGATTTATTATTTGAGTTGTGATGCAATGCTGTAGGACGACGCTGCATGAGGAGCTCAATTGCTCCGTTGAGCTACTTAGGAGATATATAATTGTCATCCCATTGCGGGGAAGTTAAACAGCAATTTGGGACCGTCGACAATGAATCAGCGCATAATTGTTTGCCGTTAAGAGTGCGCTAAGCAGTTAACAACCGCACTTAATGGTTTGCAGCACGCACATGGCAAAATGCCTCATTAGCACGCCACGGGACGTGCTAAATGAGGATGAATTTGTGTTATTTGGACGACATTTGATTGCTGTGCAAGTTTCAAATTACTGTGCCGTCCATAGTTTTAAAAACAAATACTATGCAAGAGGGAGAGATAGATCTCATTCAAACACAGTAGGGGTGAGTTTGATCAAACAAAACCCCCAAATAAGCAGAGCAATAGATTTTCTTTCCTGTAACTCAGCAATATTTTACACTTCCGATTCCATCACTTCATTCGCGTTCTCAAACTTTCCATTACAGGAACCTGAAGGGCAAAACCGTTAAAAAAAAACAAAACGTTTTGGTCTTCATCACTTTTCCACCTCTCGCCAACCAGTGCAGGCAATTCGAGTGAATCGCAATTTAGCGCACGCGATTTTCGAGCGTGAGCAAATCAGTCCCTAAGTGCTCAAGTAAAGATTGTCTTTTGGTGATAAACTGTTCATTAGGTATTAACCCTTTCACGGACAGCGGTCACTACAGTGGACAGCTTATCATGTTATCAGGTTACAGGGTGCGTGACAGGATTAAATGACGGCGTCCGTTTATCATTAAGTAAAAATGTAATAATATGGCGAATAGGATAGTAGTGCAGTAATTGGTATTCTTATTTATATTCGTGAAGCTGAGCAGATTTGGGCCATTTTTTTCAGAAATTAAATAATCTGTAGGTCATTACATTTTAAGGGGAATGTAAAGTGAGTTTTAAATGATATGAAAGTGTTTTGGGGTAATTGAGTGTATGTTTATGGGTTAAATTAGTAATATGGGCAATTATGTATGTATATTTGTGTGTGTGTGTGTGTGTGTGTGTGTGTGTGTGTGGGTGGGGGGGGGGCTCATTATTTGCAACTTTCGGCATATGGGCTTGATCCCGGATCCCTGCTAATTGCAAAGCGTTAACTGTATTGTTATAATGTGTTTTGACAACAGCGAAATAATTACAACCCAGATTGCTCAATTAACAACGGGGACGTTTTTGTACTGGACCCGAATTGTTTTTCAATCATGTGGACCGACTGTTGTGTCCAGCTGGTGAGTGTATTTGCCACCCGACTTTAGCCGGAGGCGAATTTTCGAAAACCTTTTGTAAAAATGCTTCAACCCTCCGTTCGTTTCCAGCCTCAGGCTACATGTGACATTTAGTTGCGACAATGTACTTTACACCCTCAAATCTAGCATGCACACAATCGACATAGACCATTGACGCGGGCTTGCACGGACACAGTGAAAATGTCAAAGAATACATAAGCGATATACCCTGTCAATCACAGTGTGTATTGATCGAGCCTATCCGCTGTGTGTGCGCCTCTCAAGGCTGCAAGGCTGCCAGCAGTTCATTGCCTTAGCAAACAATAATAATCTAGCAGCAGTTTGTCCCCTGATGAAATATTTGTCCTCCGCCTCGTCTTGTTGTCAGACAGGTTCACACTTGGCTTCGATGAACACACTCTAACGGCGTTTGTTGTGATCACGCGACTCTTAATAATACGACATCGCAAGCATCGGACCGACATCGTGCAACTCAAAAGTCTTCAAATTGCGTGTGCCTTAGTATGATCATGCAAAAGAAATTGAGATTGCAGATGATTAGCTCGCTATAACCATGTCGGAAGAGCGCGGGGAGACTTGCAGCAAAGGGCAAGCGTATGAGGAAGGTTGAAGGGGGCTCCTGCTGGGGGAGAAGCTGAGG